CTCTCTCTCTCTCTCTCTCTCTCTCTCTCTCTCTCTCTCTCTCTTCGCTTTCTCTCTGTCTCTCTTCCTCGCGCGCCCGCTCTCTCTCTCTTTCCTTCTCCCCCTCTTTCTCTCTCTCTCTCTCGTAATCTCGCTATCTGTTTCGCGCGCTGTCTCTTTCTCTCTCTCGCGCGCGCTCTCTCTGTCTTTCTCTCTATGTATAGATATTATTTATATATTGTTACGTATAAGTAGTTCTTTCGTGACGTCAAGGCTCGCGGGTTATGAAGGTCGGTGAAGGACGTACACGTGCTATTTCTCACAACAACAATGAACCTTGATCAACATGTATCGATCATACCCGCTATTTCCGCCCCTCACCTCTCCTATACCCGCCTCTGCTACGCGATCTCTCTACGACAGCAGCAAATCTAAAGCATTAAAAGAGCATGACCGTAGCTTAACAAGAACAACGTTATTAAACATTAATAACAGCGGAACCGTTGGCTTCATGTACGTTACTTTTACGGCATCCCATCTAAATAACAATTTTGCGCGAACGATTTTCCGATTGCTGAACCGCTTGTGTATGCATGCGAGCCTGTTGTGACGCATACTTACCATATAACGTAGCCCGTAAATGCGTGCTTAATCTGCTTATATAGCGCTTCTCACGCGTGATTGATTCACGTATCGTGCGTAGAAACGCGCGCATGCGCAACGGTCATAGAAAGCGTGTGTCTCGCGATCTGAACGTATATTTTGTTATGACACTGTAAAAGGACTGTTGCGATCTAGGGGGAAGTCTTGTGACAAACAATGTGGTTAGCAAGCTGGCTATACAATTTTTTTTGCTACAGTTTGGTCAGAAAGTTTTTTTAGCATTATGATTTTTTTTAGTTTTATGTCATGTCGATATAAAATCGTAACTCGAGTAAAATATGTCATCGAAAATAATAATTGCAAGAAATCGATTTAAACCAAAATATGAATTTGAATCATATTAAAAATTAAACGAGAACGATCGTTAAGTAAAATCGAAAAGAAAAGCAAATTAAAGATTGAAACGGAACGAAACGTAACACGAAACGAAAACTCATGATGAATTTAATATTTATGAAGAAACCGAAGCCAACCACCTTTCACGTTCGCCAGCTTATATTGCGTTGCGTATCGCGCAGGTGTGTAACCCTTCTTTGTTTCATAGGCACGGGCCGATACGAATACCTGCAGCATCGCAACCTAAAGAAGCCAGAGGACAAGTACGAGTTTCCGATGACCAGCGGATGGGAGTACGGTTGGAGGCTCGGGGACTTCACGAGAGGGAGCCACCAGTCACCGCAGTTCGGCAGATCACGGATCGTGCAAGACTCATTCTACCGGAGGAATGGCATTATCTAAATAGTGACGTCATCGTTCTTGATTAAAAAAAAGAGTGCATGCCTATGCGCTATAGATTATTCAGAGATATATTGTTTACAGTAACTTTGCATATGAAAATCATGTTGAACACAATTTCATGTGTGCTAAGTGTTTTACTGGGATTTTTTAATCATGATGGGGCCGTAATAATTGTAACAACTGGTAAAAAAGTGCCTACCTACCGACAAACCCGGTGAAATGTTGTCCCGCATTACTGGAGAAAAAAATCTAGCAAAACAAGAAAATGGGTTGTAGGAGATCCTGGGTAATTGGACGCCTATCATTGGTTCATACTGATGAAGTATAAAAAATTCCAGGCTACGTAGATGTTATTCCAGTAGCTTGTTAATCGGTGCTAAAATCCGTGTCATATAAACGAAATCGCGTTTTCTCTCTTTTGCGTGATGTTTGTTATGCTCGTGTTCTCTACATATCGAATAGAATTTGTGTGGAAAGAAGGAGGGGGAGGTGGGAGGTTCGGAATTCGTATAATTTAATATTTGCCCGTTGACTATCGTTCCCCTGTGAGTAATTGCCGTTGGTATATCCGGTATCGGCTCACTATATCAGTATATGGTGTTTGTACGTGAAAATTATGCTTCGTAAATAATTGCGCCCCGCAAGCGCCTGGTGTCTCATCAACTCGTTAGTAGGTTGCTTAGCGCAGGCGAGGGCGCAACCACGCACACAGTATTATCCACTAGTAAGCACGAAACGGAGTCGGTTTCTGTGTGTGCGTGTGTGTGTGTGTGCGTGTGTGTGTGTGTGTGTGTGTGTGTGTGTGTGCGTGCGTGTGTGTGTGTGTGTGTGTGTGTGTGTGTGTCTTGTCGTAGCGTGCGTTCATACACGCGTGTGTGCGTGCGTGCGTGCGTTCATACGTTTGTGCGTGTGCGTGCCCGCGTGCGTGTTTTGCCTATGTTTTTATACCATTAGCCATAATATCGCTTTTCGGATTCCTTGCGTGTTATTATAATCGTCTACTTTTGGCGTTGCGCAGAGGCCTCGATTCGTTTGTCGTCATCGCTGTTTTTGATAGAAAAACGCCGACTTTCGAGCGCGAATTCAAGAGCGCAACGCATAGTCCGATGCAAACGCAATACCGGGCGCGCCAGAGCCACGCGTGTATGATAACTAGCATCTAGGACTCTCAAAATTGTCGCCTCACTTCTCGCGCGGGCGTGATAATATAGTATAATATATGATAAATAATATATGATGCAACACCCTCTCTCCTTCTTTTATATATATATAGATAAACACCTTCGTCGCTCATAGATTGACAGGTCAAAGTACCTTTCGTGGTGTTTTAATTGTGTGGTTTAATGTCCGTCGGCGAGAGAGAAAGTGGGTGTTAAGCGACAAAAGCACCACTGGAAACTAGGCCCGCTGAGAATCAGTTACCAAGATCTATCTCTCTCCCTGGTCATTCTCAGGTTCTCTCTCTCTCTCTCTCTCATCCTCTCTCTCTCTCTCTCTCTCTCTCTCTCTCTCTCCTCTCTCTCTCCTCTCTTCGGGGTGCTCTCTCTCTCTTCTCTCTCTTCTCTTACCTCCCTCTGCTCTCTCTCTGTCATCTCTCTGTCTCTCTCTCTCTCTCTCCTCTCTCTCTCTCTCCCATCCTCCTCTCCTCGTCTCATCCTTCGTCTCTATCTCTAGTCTCTCTCTCTCTCTCCCGTCTCTCGTCTCTCCTCTCGTCGTCCTCTCGTACTCACCTCTCTCTCTCTTCTCTTTCACCTCTATCCTCCTCTCCCTGATCCTGCTCTCCTCTCTTCCTCTGCGGGTCTCTCTTCCTCGCTCTGTTCGTCTCTCTCGATCTCGTCGGGGCGCCGCTCTCAGACCTCTCTCTGGCATCTCTCTCTCTCTCTCTCTCTTTCTCTCTCTCTGTCCTCGCGCTCTCGCTCTGTCTTGTCTCTAATCTCTTCCCTCTCTTCCTCTGGCCTCTATCATCCTCTTTCTCCTTGTGTCTCTCACACTTCTCTCTCTCTCTCCTCTCCTCTGCTGTCCTCCTCTCATCTCCTCTCTCTCCCTCCATCTCTCATCTCCATCTCTCTCTCGTCTCTCTCCCTCTTCTCGCCCAGCGCAGCAATGAACGGCAGCCATCAATTAACCGTAATTTGGCGAGCAATGAGGCCGCCGAGAAGCACGTCCAACACAACGCACAACT